TATATATATATATATATATATATATATTTACTTTACATTTGTTTCTTGAATCATACCTAGTTTTGTTTGTTTTTGCCAACTTCTTAGAAATAAATATTAGTCAAATTTATAAGCATCAGAGGGTGTAATATTACAAAGAGAATATTATATTTTACACAAATTATTTGTACCTACATTATCATATTATGATTATTTTTCTCTTTCTTACCCATGCCTTATCCTTACTCATTTGGTACAGCTGAATTTTAAATTATTCTTATGAGATAAGCCCCCCCCCCCAAAAAAAAAGATTATATGTATTTTTCAGATAAATCTACATATAAGCAGTTTTTTAAATGTGTTCAAACTGTCAAACTTGTGTGATCTTATAGGTGTGACAAAACAATTCTCAAGTGGTGTATTGTGTTAATTAGATACAAGTAGATAAATAACTTGTAACTATTTTTTAAAAATGTCTTATTACACGAAAATTGCATATAGTTTTTGATGTTGGTTCATATTTTTTGAAATTGTATACATTTTGAAAGCATTATAAATGGATGAAAATTACATAAATCTTTGTATTCATATTTAAAATTTTTAATGAATTTTTAATCTTGCAGATCAGAGTCAAAATGGAACTATGTTAATGGGTGAGTTCAAGAACTTTGTCAATTTTTGATAAATTTTAAACTAGGTTAACTTTTTTTTTTCAAACGTTCCTAAACTGCCAAAACTGTTCATCACCAGCTTAGGCACATATAATATTCTAAGTTGTGTACAACTAATTGTGATATGAGAATAATAAGATATTGTAAATTATTAAAACAGATAAATCAAAAATGTAGTTTATAAGTTTCATTTCTAAATCTCTAGAGCAGGAAGTATTAAATATCTATATAATAAGAATAAGTGTCCGTGTGCCACATAACTCCTAAACTGCTGGTCACACTAACTACTAAATGGTGCCAAACGAATCGTCTCAGTCCCAAGGATTTCACAAAGGTAAACCTTTTCACCCAACCCCTTAGGTAACCTGGGTATTTCATGGAAACACTTTTATAGAGATTTCGAGAAAGTGAACCCCAAATTTGGCATTGATTTACATTAGAGCACATAAATAAGTAAGCCTATTAATTACCATTCATAACTTGGTTAATGAAATTAAACTTGCATTATAGCAGCAATGAACATTAAACTGAAAAAGTGCAAAATAATAGTTCAAGCATTAAACTTGTATTATGGGCCTGTAAACGTAGGCCATAGGCCCAGAAGTTTGTTAATTACTAAAATAAGATCCGATATGCATGGGTAAGGAATCAACTTGTGCATGCCCCAACTTTGTACAGAGTACCATTCAACATATATTTGATGTCAGAGTTATCAACATTTGATGTTACTGTACATTGCTGGTTTTGAAACAGTTCATGATAAAGAAACTACCTAATAAACTATGTAGGAATACTGAAAAAAAAACAACCTATAAATATGCATTTAGGTATCTGCAATATGAGAATGCAATTTGCAGACTGTATGGTGGGCAATACTACTTTATTCACATGAATATCACCTTGCACTCATACTTGTCAGAGTCTGAGTCAGATTAAGTTTGGAATTTCACAGACATATCTTTAGTAGAAAGCTTTAGTAATATATCTGATTTTTTGTGTACAACAGTTTTGTACTTTGATTAAAAGTTTGTGACATTTTGTAAATTCTGAATTATGGTCAGCGTTACTTCTCCAATACAGGACTGGTCCATTGAACTAACCCCGTGCATATTAAGTTAATCTGTAGAATGTTATTATCATTTAAAGCACTTCCACTGCACACTATTAAGCTAAAAAAATTAATATTTAATCTTAGATTCACTTTGTATCACATGCACTCCAAGACAAGAGAGAGAGAGAGAGCCTTTTTCCAGTAAAACTCTTTTCATTACCCTGACATTTGTTGTCTTGCAACTTTTTCAGGAGGTTAACAGTATAGTAAACAGAGAAGCTAACAGATAATAATACAAAAATTTAAAAGACTGATGTTGTATTCCTATTAGAGATCTTAGAAGTGGACTTGTTTGACAATATAATTTAATAATATTCTTATAAAATAACTAGTGAGAAATATGAAACTAAAATTCATAAACAATATTTATGGATTTACACACTTGTTGCCTTGCAGTTAATATTGTTACTGTTGCGTATCTGCTTGTTTGTTAATTTCCCATAGAAATTCTTTCCGAGAAACTTCAGCGATACAAGTCCTTTCTAATTAAAACTAGTTTATTCTTTCTTGATATAACTTTATAATACACAGAATTTCCACAGTCAATACGTTTGCAATCTCGATAACAAAACACACACCTTATATTATCGTCACTACCTCTTGCTTGACTCAATTATCTGTCTCTATATCTATCTAGCTGCAATTTATATCTCCGCTTTATTTGCTGGGCTTATATACTAAAAAAGAGGGTGCCTGGAACAAACTAAAGTTGTCAGGAAAAGTCATGATCCTTCTAGAAACTCCAGTGCACATGCTCCCAGTGTCGTGTGGCTAGAAGGATCATGACTTATCGGGGAACCTCACGAATGTCCCAGTGTTTGCTAGATGCCCTCTTTTTTAGTATATAAGCCTGGCAAATAAAGCCAGCGAAAAAAATAGAATTGCAGAGATAGGCAGATAGATTGAAGATAGAGATAATTGAATCAAGTAAACAGTAGGCACCATAAGTAAAGTGTGTGAATCACTGTGATTTATAGCATGTGTTATAAAGGTTGTTAAGTTCAAAGTGACTGTGGAAATTAAGTGTATTACAAAGTTTGTAATGAGAAAGAATAAACTAGTTTTAATCAAGAAGGGACTTGTATCGCTGAAGTCACTCCGAAATAATTTTTACCGGAAATTATCAAATTGGTCTCAGAGAGTGGGACGGAAA